TCCGAGCAGCTCACACGCTTTCGCGAATCCTGAACCTCTTAGCTCCAAGAATGCTCAAGCTATGCTCAGGTACACATTGCAGGTGAAAGCTCCCAAGTTTTCAAGGCCCGAACATCTGTAAGTAAAGCTCGTCACCCGCAGTGCCACACCTGCAAACCACTACTCCGAAAATGAAAGCCCTTCGCCTTCTACGTCGCTCTGTCTCGATCTATCTGCCTCTCTCTCGGACCTTTAAGCCATAAGCTTTCAACAAAGACGAACATGCAAACATCTGCTTCAGCCTGGGAAAGACCGATCTTCACCAAAGCGGCGAGATGGTGCCTGGGAAGGACTCACCAGAGAAACTGGGGCTTCCCACTAGGCGCCCTAGTACCCTATATAGTAGGTACCTGGGGGGTTAGGGTTAGGCTAAGTCAGAGGCCAGGACGCACGGCAGGGATGTATATAGCATTTGGGAAAATCTCGTGGGTTTGCCAATGAGCCTCCTACTGCATTCATGCCGTACCATATACCCCTTCGAACCACCGTTCTCGGCACGCCCAAAATCCCGAAAGCCACTGCTATCCAGCTTCATGCAGATCTACCTTGCGCACGGGTACCCTTAATGAGCTCCCACCTAGGAGACAGAGGCTTTTGGTCTTCTGAGATCAGAAGACATCCCAACATGTATTGCTCAATACTCAAGCCACTCTTGAACATCCCTGCCCTAAAGCCCAATCTCAAACCGGAAGCTCGAGACAACGCCCATCCGAGAAGCCTCGTCGGACCTCTTCGGGGTCTTCATATACCTATGGACCTAAACAAGCTGAAAGACAACCTGCGCGAACAGAAACTGTCCAACGACATAAACCATTACACGGTAAAGCCCCTCAACGCTTGTGTAAAGCTCTGCATGGGAACAACTGCATAGGCAAATAGTGCCCAGCACACTTCACTGCTAATATTATCTTGGCATGTCCCATATGACAAAGACATGCTTGATCACAGAACTTGTTTCTGCTGGGCTCAGACAGCTCAATCCTAAACGCTAGTTGGTTGAAAGGCCAACCTGTGCCATGTTTGAGTGCTGAGGTGCTCGAAGCGTCCCCAGGGGATGTTGGCCGTGCCCATCTCCTTTTCTTGGGTGGAAATTCACAAACATAAGGCTCCTCAACCGGGCTTGATGGTGTGTAGCCTTGGAAGTGCGTTGCAAGGATTACGGACACTAGATTTGAGGTACAAGACTGAGCGCGCCATACTGGAGGATTCCAGAGAACCGTACTTCGAGAGACTCTGAGAATTCTAGCAATTCGACGACCATGTACTTTACATAACTATACAGAACATCTGTAGCGAAAACCCAACCCTACACCAAACCTAAACCCTCAGCCTTGAACCCTGAACCCTAAACCCTTTTTGCAGCAAGCCCTAAACCTTAAGCCTTAAACCCTGAACCCTAAACTCTCCGGGATTGAGGTGCCCCAGGTCTCGAAGGTGATGTCATGCAAGTGGAGGGGGCTCTGGGACTGAAGGGCTCCGACCCGATCATTCAAAGGTCTGGTAGAATTTAGAATCTAGTATAAGAGGGTTTGTAAAAACTTTTTTCTGTGTTTAAAATCCTTTTCTGATAGAATTAAGAATCTTGTGTAAGTCTAGTCCAGTCTGGTCTGGGTATATTCATATATTATAGTTTAACAGTTGTAGGTTGTAGGGTATAGATTGGTGAAGCCTGATGTTATCGTAGAGTTTACGGATCCATGCTTTGAAATGTTGAAACTGGTGTCCAGGGCCGTAGATTGGTGCAAGATTGGCGGTCTGTGGGTTTACTAGGGATTTAAGCAGGGTTTCAGCACTCACAACTGGGACAAGCCTGGCGAGGCACCGAGTAGGACGAAAGCACTTTGGCCAGGGAAGGCAGATTCACAGGGTTTTTTTCCATCTCGCATGGCTAAGGATCTATGCCCACAAGAGAGGTGGGTTTAGGGCTCAGGGTTGAGGGAGTTTGAAAAATGCAGATAAATGCAGGATTTCAGGTCAGTAGAATGCAAAAATGTGGTGAAATGGGCTGCAGAGAGAGGGTTTAACCCTTCGAAAGGCAAAGGCGCAAGCCCCCCCACCCCCAAGCATCCCCAAACAAGCATGCTGGGCTATGCGGGGCCTTGGCCTCGGTTTGCTTTGGAAAAAAATGTCGAAGGCAGAAGGCATGCGAATTGGAGGAGTCAAAGGCTTGCTCAAGGGGTCTAGAGTATAGGGCTTTACAAGTTAGGGGCTCTGGACCTAGAAGGTGTCGGGCGCAGTGTTTAGTCTTCGGGGCGACTACGAGGAAGACAGACCTCAGGCTGCACTGTAGACCTGTCTGGGCGAAAGATGAGACAAGCGGGGATTGCAATGTAGATCTGCAGTCAGTGTCGATTGATGTACTATGACCCTACCTCAACGCAAGACCAGGGTCGCCTGACCATCATCCTGATTACAAGAGCTTACAAGTAGTGCCGGACAAAAACAGCGGATTCGTGCAAGCAGGCCTCGGGTTTAAGGTGATTGATAAATTCTTTGGAGTCATTTCTGGTTCTCTGTTGGGGTCATATTAAAAATGATCATTTTTCATCCTTATTAGGGCTTTATTATAACAAAAATATATATATAATTGTATCCAACAAGGACCCAGATTTGCTGATCCAACAAGGAAGTCTCGACAGTAAGGCTTTCGTCACCGGCACGTGCTGCACAACCCATTTTTGCGGTGCTGTTGAAATTGAAATGAAGCTCTCCTACGTCGTTACTAGAACGATCCTAAACCCAAGGCTCTCCACCCCAATACCTAAACCTAATCAGTAAGCCCTAGCTACTACTTAGGGGTACATGGTGAACAGCGGAGTCCCCGTCGGGCATTCTGGAGCTTGTTTTCGGTCATGCGGGTTTTGTCAAGTCAATTTATGGCTCATGGGGCTACGACGAAGATACCTCCCCCAATCCTAAACCCCAAGTCCAAGGCCCTAAACTGGCTCTAACCCATAGACCCCTACACCTTAGATCCCAAACCGTGAGCCGTAAACTGTACGAACCCCGATCCTCTCCTCCACATGTGCGTTTAAGCCTTGATGAATTCACGGATATTGTTCAAAAGCTCTTCCCGGGCAGTGTGCCAAGCGTCGTCGTTAAAGGTACCCTTAACCCCCCAGGTACCTACCAAAAAGGGTACTAGAGCCCCTAGAACCCTGTATAGTAGGTACCTGGGAGGTTAGGGGTAGGTGTGGAACAATCCCGGGAGATTTGCGCGAAGCCCGCGAGTTTGGGGAGCGGGCCGCCTGTACCCACCAAAACTCGCGGGCATGGCGCGGATTTCGTGGGGATGGTGCAAATGCAAAATTCCTGCACGCTACGAACGATTTTTGGCGGATTCAAGCGGTGGGAGCTCTCAAAACTCGTAGGCATTGTGTGGGGCGGGGCTTGCTTTTGTTAGTTCGGGAGGGGGGCAGGAGAGATTTGGTCGTGCTTTCATGGGACCTAGTTGGCGATTTGGGGCGTTGGTATTGCGTGGTTTCGAAAAGGTGAGGAATTGGGGCGTAGACCAGCTGAGGACTTATAAAAGGCATAACCACCTAACCTTCTGGTCTCTAGTGGGCGTGTGGCGACCTTTTGATGTTTTCCCATCTCGAAATCGGGACCACGGAAGTGTGAACCCCGTCCTAAACCCTTCAAGTTTTCCCTTTAACGGTTCAGGGTTTGCAGGGTTAGGGCTTAAACCCTAGACCTTCTTCAGCCCAGCCGCGATCACGACGCATCCGAAGCTCCAAAGATCCGCCGCGCGTCCGTAGCGCGAATGGGCGAGGACCTAAAGGCGAATTTTGCTGGCAATCTGGAACTCGTAAGGGGGCCTTCCAGCTTAGACGACAGTTTTGAGTAAACTATAGCTGAAAGCAATTAAAAAAGGACCTACAAAGGCAGATAAATAAGTACTAGGTTTGTGTTCAATACTATGGGGTTTACGGTTTCTGGTTTGGGGTCCATGTTTTGCAAACACTTGCTGCAATTGAGTTTCCTCAGAGAAGCAGAACAGACTCCAGCAGGAACACAGACGCCAACACACAATCAAGATCGTGGACGTCGTCAGCGGCACCTGTTGACCTCGTAGGAGCATTACGGGCAACAGCAGAAAAAGCTGAAGCAGCAGATGTCGCAAAGAGTCACTTAAGTCCATGTAAATATATACAGTAATCATGTACGTAGTCCCTGAGGTACCCATGCATGAACCTTTCAAGGCCAAAGAAACTACTGGACCTGTACATGAACCCCAAGACCGTCAGGCATGTTGTTCGTCGTCAACTCAATGAACATGGCATTCACCGTTGGTGCCTCAATGCTGAAATGCTCGGATGTATTTGCATCAGGAAAATCACAGCATGTTGTGTCACACGCTGTACTTCATGGTGGATATGGTGGTGATGCATGGTCCCTCAACCCTAAACACTAGATGTAACCCACAACCGCAAAACCAGTGTAAAACCCCAAGCAAGGCGCGGTCACAGGCCGACTTGTTCCTTTTTAGCCAATGCCGACTTGTCACTGCCTGTCAGGGTGGCATCTCGCGGGTGCACGCTGTACTATAGGGGCCTTAGAAATTAGAAGAGGGTTTCTGGGCTACATTATACGAAAATCATGATCAGGAACCCCCAAAAATAGCATTGGTAATCATGTAGGCCCCTTGATTATGCTGCGATGCTGTGCACAGATCTGTACAGGGGGTGTGCACAATACTCACCAGCATGCAGCGCTCCTTCCCGCGCTGTTCAAGCTGCGAGGCGCGAAGTTCGCGGAGCCCGACCTCCCCCGATTCAAAGTACCCTGGCGGGGCCTGTACAACCTCAGGGGGTGTCATTTGGTAGCTATGCCATGCAGCAATTCGGATCTTTACTCATCTTTACATCGGCGTGCAGTGTCAGGAATTTGACTTTGTAACTTCCGAGGCTAAGCCTCAAGTGGGACATGTCGGCTACTTTCTGTGGCAACGCCGACCTGCCTTAGCGAACAGGTGATACTGAGCGACAGCGTCTTCTATCTTGAAAGCCCATGCCAAGTCCCACGTCGTCTGGGAGTTCGAGGAAGGTCTTGTGCACCACTAGCTCACAGAAGTCCGTTTCATGTTTAGCCTGATTCTGACAGCTTGCGACCACTTCACGACAAAAGCGTGGTGTGCCGTCCTCGACCAACCTCGGTGTTGATCCACCGTTGGCACGCCGGTACGCAGTTTTCTGTAGAGCAAATGTTGCCTTGAAGCGGTCTCTGGCCATGTACCATTCCTCCCGCGGCACCACACACTGATACGGCAGCAACTCTTGCCCATCCAGAGATTGATACGTGTGTACATGCACACTGATTCTTCGGAAGAACAGGCAGAGGTACTCCGACAAGCGGAACGCATCATTGCCCATCATGGCGGGGTCGTAAGCAACCCACGTTGAGAGCCCCAACTCGTTGCCAGCCTCGATGTTGGTCGGCTGCCCCGTGACGCTCGTCTCCTCACCCAGAGCAGGGATCATAGGTGGCCTGCTGCCAAAGCTGGTCATGTTGAGCACCATGTAGAGCGTCCTATCCCTCTCCCGCTCCAGGATAAGCTGTGGCCTGTTCAAGTAGCAAATAGCCTGGCTTCTGAAGGCATCTAATACGAGTCGAAGAGCATCAGCTGCCCAAACGGGCATCTGGAAGGGTGCTAAGGTACCCATGACAAAATGCATCGTGTAGTTCCCAGTCTTATGCATGCGACAAAGCAACGTGCACACCAAAGGGTTGCTTTGATCGCTCCAAGTGAGAGAGCAGTCACCCTTCTCTGGCAAGTTCCGTCTTACCCGCTCAATTGTTGTCACGGGCAGTGCTGTATGCCCAAAACATAGGTTGCCACACAGGTGTTGCGAGTGTAGGATGCCAAACAAACTGTCACAAAGCCGGATCCATGGCCAGTTCGTCCAGTACTTCTCGAAGCATGCCCCTGGACCGAGGATTTCTCTTACTTCACGAATCTCTTCCAAATTTGCTGGATCAGGCTCGCAGGCACAGCTCCACGCTCTTGTTTCTGGCCGGACCAACAAGTAGGCGGGATCTTCTGGAGGATGTAGGACCACAACGTCGTGAAGCACGTACTTGATCAAAGTGTCACCCCAAGGACTGCTGGATTGCAGGAGTGCGGAGGAAGGCTTCTGGACGAGTTTCTGCCAACCCTCCTCTGAGAGCAGATGTGGAACTAGAAGAAACCAATCCTCGATGGTGTCAGGTCGTGGAGCTTGCGCTGTCGCCTTCATGGCTTCTCTAGGCTGCAGTCCTCAATCTACTTTGGCAAGACACTTGCGGAGCAGGCATTGTCTCTCACATGAAGTCATTAGCAAGCAAGTGCCTAGGACAGCTACGAGAAGGAAGGGGTTATCGAGCTGCTACTTCTTCAGTGTAGGTCCTAGGGTAGGTATGCAGACATGTCGTCTCTCTTTGCTGCTGCTGTTGCAGGAGCTGTTGTTGATAGCTGTGGTGTTGCGATGATGACGGCTCAGGTCTGGACACACCCGAACCCGTGATCTGCTTACAAACATGTTAGGAGATTTGGGGTTTAGAGATATTCTGACCGTTTTTCCAACATTGACAAGCCGGACTCCAGAAGCTTAGCCCCTGAACAGCCCTAAACTTGAAACCCTAAACCCGAAACAGCCCTTCCGCTGGAAACCTGAACTTCCGGGCTTGTCCGAAGCTCAGCTCTGCGCCTTGTATTTGAACTCCAAGAACCAACACAAGGTCTAGGGTTTAGGGTAAAGTAAAGAGACATTGTATACCCGATACGCCCTACAAGCCCTATAACCCTAAGTCCTAAACTCTAAACGACCGAAGCCCTATAACCCTAAAATTTGGAATTCCTGAGCCCTATAAACCCTGCATCAAACCCTACACCTCATGCACCCAGCTGCCTCTGGAGCCATCCAGGGGATGGATCCGCGCATGGTGTGCCTGGCCCCGCAAACCCCCAGCATGGGAACCGGTATAATGTAGGGGCCTTAATAATTGGACTAGGGTTTTGGGGGCTCCTTATTATAATTATGGTATAATATAACCCAAACCCCATTCTAATTATTAAGGACCCTATATTATGGTGAATGGGTAACGGGCTGCTATGCATTTCCGTCTTGCCATCATACTTGGTTTCATTGTCGATCTCGCGGGAAGATCTTCGTGGGAGTTGTCCAGTTGACCTCTGCCCCCCCTTCGATGCAAAGGTTGATTCCCCCAGACTGGCACCTGATATGGGTTTGTTGTTCTGGTCTCGTGTTGCTATATCCCAACAGCAGACCTACGTATTTCCACACGCCATGTTTCAACAGGAGGCTTGCACAAACAAGCCAAAGTCTTAGGAACCACGAGGAGGCTTTAATCAGGGAGCCATTGGGAAACCTAAACCGTTTGGCATTTCTCCGGGCGAGCGGCGTCAGGGTGTCGTCCGTTCGCTTGGAGCATCCGAAATCGGCCAGCTTGACGGTGTCACCTGCAGCTCAAACAATCAAAGTGCCTCACTGCATGAGAAACCGATGGTATAGCTGGCGTCTGTACGGAAGGACATGAAGGTCCATAAGCCGGATTGAATACAGTCACAGAGCCTCATTTGGGGATGTAATGTGGAAGTCGAGATTGCAGGGTAGAAGCAATGTCGAGGATTTCGACCAGGGTTCCCGGATGTTCCCGGTGCATAGTACGTACAAGTTAGCAGTTAGCAGTTGAGTAGGGTAAGAGCTCTAGTAGCGATCAACATTGAGAACAGTCGCACGTTTCCAACTGCAACAAGAAACCCGCATCACCATGAATCCTCGTACAGAATGCCATGTTTCGAACACGGCCCCGAAATCTTGTTACAATATCTGGAGTTGCCAAATGCACTTTCTGTTGTACAAGATGGGCTGTAGCATGAGACATGGCACAAA